ATTCAAACGTGTGCTTCATATCAGACTATGAGAGATGTTTATAAAAAACGGAAACCAAATTTGAGTTATTGGCACAATGGCCCGTGCAGGCTAGCAAACCGTGATTCTGGTTTTTTGAAAAACTGCACATTTTATTGAGCTCACAGACTTGTAAACACCAATTTACAAAGTTGATAGGTGCCACCGTGTTAGATAATGGCCTTAACAGTGACAAACTAAATTAAAACTATATGATCCAATGGGAGATTCTGGCCTCTGCGAAAGTGTCTTGCAATGGTCTTGGCTGAAATCTTTGGCTCTGTCATATAAGTCATGGACAGAATCTGACCTTTGTATTGATGTGTGGTTTTGAAGCGGTTACAGAGGACACGAATAGCCCAGGGTGGTTGACGAGAGCCAACAACATTTTTCATTTAATTAAGATTGTTTGTTTCTCTTGGCAATAGCAACTAATATTTCCCAAACAAGGGCCTGCATAGGTTCTCGATCAGCATAAATAAATATTCTGTTCTGTACAATCAAACTCTATACAACATTTGTTTCTGACCGTTCTTTAAAAGTTACAATATGTGAGAGGTCTTTCTTTCCTGCGTAGCCTGAAAAGGTGAAACAGTGCTGTATTTTTCAGTAGAGGACATGCACCTGGTTAACTGACAAAACCAAGCAGTCCTAGACCTTAACGAGCCCCTAATTATCTCCTTGGGGGACCCTTCACCGGCCCCTTATACGCCCGTCTAGAGTACACATTTCTATTTTTACTCCAGCGCACAAACCCAAACTCATTATTAATCACATGCTTAATGACATGTAGCTCATACCAGCATGTGTTGGCCCGTGCGACCAGTTTGGAGAGGAACAGTCTTAACCTTGCGACACACAAAACGGCTGATGTTTGATGAAAATATCTTGCATCCTCGATTTGCTACGCCGCACATCTCTGCTTAAGATGGAGATTCATCTGTCAAACAACTGTTGGATTCAGCACTGGTTGAACTGAAGTGATGTCTATACTTATGCTGATCTCACTTCATAAAAGACTCAGAGGGGAGGCATGTCTTGTTACCTGGCCCACCCTCCCTCACCACAATCACCAGCAATCAGGCTCAAAAAGCTCACACAGCCCGCCCACATTAGAAGTCTCATCTGAGGGTGATTGGTACTGACAAATGCAGGGAAACAGTAATACGCGGGGTAAGCTAGGCTGTGTTTGTTTAGCCGCTACACTTAGCTCCGGGCAAACAAGCAGGTCTTGCCAAATGACGGATGGCATGTTCTGTAAACGGACTAGTTCCTGTTGCTCCCGCTCCACGACTGAGTGATGTTTAGCCGTGGCAGCTATTGGCCGCTGTAGATGCATTGGAGGATCCCATTGTCCAGGAGGCACACACAGGGAGTGTCCAGCCAGACACAAAGGTGCGAGTAGCGAGAGCAGCACCGGCCTGATCCATTTCACGATGTCATCCTTATGTGAAATCAGGCTGCCCTCACCCCTCCCCTGCAGCCCGCGCCTCTCACCTTTCAGCCCTCCTCAATAGGCTCTGGGAATTTCTCACCACGATCTGGTTAGCCCCATTACAAAGAACCCCGTGGCCAGCTCCAGCACACGTACACACACAAAAAGACCAGAGCCGCATTCATCACCACACTGTCTGAAAGGGAAACGAGGACTGACAAGCGCTCTCAAGTGGACAGCGTTTTAGCCATTTGTGTGACCCGCTCTGAAGCTGTTGACATGGAAACACCCTCACATTATTCCCGGTGCAGTGTTTGTGCGAAAATTCAGCTTTTCCTGTACTACGCAACAACAATCAATTTTTGTGTGTTTTACATAGTGTCAGTTGCAATGCGCTTTTCTCATGTGAATTGCAACACACTCCCAGGGAACAGTTTAGGTTTACAGACCAGAATCCAAACCTTCCCCCAGCTCTGTTTGTTTCCAGCTGACATCCAAGACTTTTACCGAAGTTTGGAATTCATACTCTGTTTTACATTGTTAAGTCACCTCGTAAGTTATTCCCGTCATACCATTCCTGTTATATTTTCCTACTCTGGACACGTAGGATCGCTAATATTTTTCTATTTGGTTTAAACAAGTTGAGAAGAAAGGAGTGAATTCATGTTTGAACATTCTGACATGCAGCGGCCAGGAATATATGGCGTCCCAGGATGCGAGCAACACAAACTATATTCACATGCTGTGAGTTAATGCGGCTTCAAGGAGGGCCAGACCCGGTTATGAATATTGATAGTCTGGTGGCTGCATTCTAAATCATACGTAGTTTCCCCTAAGTTGTTTTTATGCATCCAACACATTTTTACCACACGTGCAATAATCCAAGCACTGAATGGTGACACAAAAACTGTGCAGGTAAAAATTATTTATTTATAAAATGTATTAGGGCTGCAAGAAGATAATCAATATGGCGCAGCTAATCAATTATTGAACTATTTGTCAAATAAGCAATTGATGAATTGGTTATTGAACCTTATATAGACTTAAACATGATGAGAAGAGGTTTATCAAGTATTTTCTATATATATATTGTATGTATATGATATTTACGGGCGGCACGGTGGCTGAGTGGATAGCACTCTCGCCTCTCAGCAAGAAGGTCCTGGGTTCGAATCCCGGTCGGACCAGGGCCTTTCTGAGTGGAGTTTGCATGTTCTCCCTGTGTCTGCGTAGGTTTCCTCCGGGTACTCCGGTTTCCTCCGGGTACTCCGGTTTCCCCTACCACTAAAAATATGTACAATAGTTCTGGCATGTTCTTCCTGTACTGGCGACCCCGCTCCCATCTCTGTGTGGAGTGAGAGACAAATGCCCAAAATTAACAATTGTAAACCGCTTTGAGACTCAGATCTGCAGTGAAAAGGCGGTATATAAATAAAAACTTACTTACTTACTTACTTACTATTTATTATCAAATAACCGAATGTTCGAGCTGCATCACTTGAGCTGTGTTTGTGTACATTTATAAATAATCCAATTTTTACTGACCTTTGTATCTAAAGAACGAATCTATTAATTTATAGAATAATCGGGCAGCTAATCGATTTTCAAAATTATTGTTATTTCCGGCACTGAAACATATTTTAAAAGTCATATGAAAGTAAAAAGCAAGTGGTGTCAAAATGCACATTCACATCCACGACAAATTATTCTGTAAATCATAAACTATTTTCAGACTTGAGACTCGCCCTAAGCATTTGAATGACTTCAGCTGTCATCGCCTTTATTGAGTTTCAATATGCGCCGCACTTTGTAAGATTTGTATAATATGCTCTGGCACCCAGACATACAGGCTGAGGATAATTTCACACACTCGAGACCTCAGGTGAGAAATAGCACGCTTGTTATTTTGTTATTAATCTTAGCATCAAAGAAAGCATACATTGTGTTGTGATCTGTTTTTTTGCTCGAGTCCAAATATTCCTCTTTTCATATCTAATTTGTGGTTCATGCTTGATTTTCCATGAGGTAAACTTATTTTTTTTATTTTAGAGACTGGCCTCATGTATTGAGTGTTGGCGATATTGATCTTGGCAAACAGAGTCGAAGCCAGTTTCGTTAGGACCGCACCATCATTAGGTTGAAGGCTGAGGTTTTTAGACATGAGGGAATTGTAACTATTATACACTGGATGTCACGTGTACTCAAGTAGTATTATTGCACTTCTGATAAGAAGTTTGTTTGTCTCCTTTTTAAATAATTGAGAATACCTTGAAAAGATTAACCCTTTATGTGCCAACATCAAGGACGATTCATTCATATACAGAAAACATAATAAACACAAACACAAATAGGTCCAGTTCAGCAAAAAAAGTTTTTAAAAAGTACTTTCCTTTGTGTTATCCCTGTCAAATAAATAAATAAATACATTCATGCTGTGTCCACAAATGTCATGCCCCACTGTGTGTGAGAAAGCAAGTGAACGGTTTCATTATATCTTTTTTTTTTGTTCGTGCTGTTATTTATTTTACTATTGATTTGAGTTGCCCTCTATTTTTTACAACATTTCAGGGCTCTACGCTTTGTCTGTTTCACATAAACTTTGTGAAAAAAGTGTTAATTGGTTCACAGCTATAGTTTGTTGTGAAAGACCAAGGTCAATCATTCAAAAAAAAAATTGGTAAAGGGTGTCATATCATATACAGAAGCTAATTTATCTCTATTCATTCTGTTACACAAACCCACAGGAAGACAAATTAGCTTCTTGACCTTTCACCGGTACGTTTAAACATATGTAAGTCTCTAATACTTTTTATGAACATACCAACAATCCATTATGTCTTTATAACAGTGCGAGTGCAGGTGACGGATATGTTAGGGTCACGTCTGCCTCATCTCTTCTCCTAAAGTATTTGTAGTAAGAAGTTTTGCCTGGACTTTGTGGAAATGAACCAGATGTGAGCTGGTGCTGGCGGCGGGCGGGACATAGGCTTGAAGATAAATGCTGGACGTGCAGCGTGATGCTTCTCTGCTGCTTCATGAAAAAACCAAAGTCAATTCTCCGGCCGTGAGTAGGCTCTGTGTGACGCTGCTAACCTGGAGCTATTCCTGGCATTTGTGCTCAAGTTTAAAGGTGGCTGTGTTTCCAGTGGATTTGACTCTATCGTCATGAATTGGAGCACTGTAGGAACGGGAAAGCTAAATTTAGAAGTGGGTTAAGCAAGTAAAGACAAATGTAGCAGTGTTTCGAAGAGTATTTGTTACGTCCTAATGCGTTTGGCTTTCGTTAGTTACACATTCAACAAATGAGCGCACATAGCTGTATCAGGAAAGGATGCTCGTTGTGTCTAAAGGAGTGATTGTCCCAATAGGGAGTGCAGAAATAGATCACGGGAAAAGAATTCAGACCTCAGGCTGCTTTTGTAGGTGGTATTTCTTCTCAAGATGACATCCAAACTTGGAGATATACCCCACCACAAGTTATTATACAGAGCTGTGTGAAGGGTTGTTTTGAGTTTAATAATATACTGTGTGCTCTCTTCTCTTGCAGCTGAGATATCAACACGGGCTGACCACCCCAGACCTGCAGCAGACTCTTCCCAACCTGAAGACCTTCTTGGAGCATGGCCTGATGGTCCGATGGTGAGAAATGAATCATGCTTTTTTTCCACCAAACAGCCAAACAGAAGTGTTCCCTTGAACTTGTATTCAGTATGTCTCACAGTAAATAATGTTACTTTACTAGTATAATCTGTATTCAAAACAATTAAAAAACGTGCGGCTGCCATCTTGGATTTCTGTACAACATGTGGCTGCCTCTTTGCTTTTCCTTGTGCTTCATAAGTGGCCTTTTATGAGGCGGAGCAGTTCTAGGTTTGGTTAAGTGTCATTTAAACAAGTTTTTACAGCCTCAAAGGTCATTAAAAATTATGAGGAAGAACAATTTGTTAATTCGGCTACAAGCTAACTTCTGTGATTTGTGGTTGGTCTTCAAATCTTTACTTGAGGGATGCTGGGAATAAATGCTCCCGGTCTCAGATCCTTCTACCTGATCCTACCTGATCACATACAGTATGTTAGAAAGTAGAAGGATCTGGCTGCTCAGGCAATGAATAATCCTTGTGTTGATCTGACTGATTTCCTCTTCCTCCATTGGCACTGGGGAAACTGTTAATTTCACAGATTAATCTTTTGTTTTGAAAGAAAAGAAACCATGAAAATCCCTGCCTCTTGAAACGGCTCTGTAGCTGCTATCCCATAATGAAGACGGGAAGTTCTTAAAATTGGAAGAACTACAGTTTGACCTCCTAGCCCTGTGTCTAATAAACAAAACACACTCACACAAATTGTTGTGCAACAGAGACGCATAGGGAGGCTCCATGTAGACATTTTGTGGAATTGTATTACTATAAAAAATGGAGCGGAATCAGACTGTCTGAATCAAAAAACTGTCTGAATCAAAAAACTGTCTGAAATATACCATCTTTGACAAGAGCCGTGAAGGGGAGATAGGCAAAATGCTATGGAGGAGTGAGGGCTATTTCTGCTTCAGGATGTCAGCTTTTCTGCTTGATGATTTAGACGGTGGTCTCCATGTAGCTTTTACAGTGTGTGCAGTGGAGCTGCTGTCAGGAGTGCACACCAGAGACTGGGGCCCAGTGAAACCTAAAGACATACGTGGGTAAATGGAGGTAACCTGTCACTGCACAGGCCTTTTTCCCATCACTGTGGTATGTGGAGCTGCTGTACCACTCAAACCAGAGCCATGTGCTCAAAAAGCCTCTGCTTCACTATTAAAAACAATGGTCTGCTTATTTGTATTAGCTCCACCAAGAAGCACTGGAGTTGCTGCCTTTATTGCAAACTTAAAGTCATACATGTGTTGCTGTATGTCTACAAGCTGTCTGGAGAAAGAATTAGTTTACCTTTTTAGAGTCATGGCTCAGATGCATAATGTTGCAGCTAAGCTCCGAAACTTAAGTCTACAATGCATTGGCGTCTGTACAGTGGAAACCAGATCTTTGCTTGAACCTTGTAAAAAGGCTCATAATTAAGTTCGGAACCTGTTTTGTTTATTTTTTATATTCATTGGCTCAAGACCATTGTTGGGTAAATCTTTAGTTACACTTTGTTCACTACTTTCTAAAAATGAAATACATTATCCTAACTTTGTCAATTTTTGTTGGTCGCAACCCCCAGGATCAAACGTTAAAACATTAAAATTATTTTAAAGTTGTTTGTTTAAGTAATTTCTTGTGTGATTTGATATAATACCACTCTAAAGTAATGTTTGCGTCAAAAAGATTTTAAAACTAAAATAGCAAAACAATGAAAATTATCTTGCAGCCCCCAGATAATGTCCCATAACTCCCATTTTGGAAACCAGTTTAGAGAACCGACAGGTAAACAGAAGCTTATACCCAGCTTGGCTCTCTTTGTTATCAGCATGTCTGAAGATCTTCCTATTCCTCACGAATCGCCTTTTACTCACATTATTTTACTAATGCTGTCTCAACTGTTGAGGTGGAGGAGAATTTACGAAGACATCTATTATGCTGCACGCTTAACCGATCAAGAAGAGATTTGTCTTGAAGCACAAACTGATATGCAGATCCCCAGAGGGTACAGGGAGGTCCTTCTTACCCATTGACCTCAGAGCAATGGTGCGTCTGCTCCTGTGAACCCATGACTGTGAATTACACATGGCCTTGGTAAATGGACAAGGCGGCGAGGCCCCCCATCTAAATATATTTATGGTTTGAAGTTTGGTGGAGCAAGAGTGTCCCATATTGAAAGTCTGTTATCTGTTATAGAAGAAAATGTCTGACATACTTGGGAAGACGCCTGCTGCGTTGTTGCACTCAGCAGTTCAACAGTACAGCCTCAAAAGCAGCACGCCTATTTTCTGGATGTTGTCGGGTTGAGTGATTTATAATGAGTCACAATAGGGTGCTTTAAAAAATGGTTGGTGTAGAGATTATTTATTGTACATGAAAGAAGTCTGATGTAATTCCTCACACTTGCTGTTCTTGTTCTTCACAGTGATCGGCATGTATCCAGTTCCATCTCTGTGCCCAAGTCCCGGCTCAGTGTCGGTCAAGGCTCAGAGTCGGAGTATCCCAGCCACAGCAGCTCTCCAGACCACGTCCTGAGGAAAAACAGCACTTCTGAAGCTGACCAGGACAAGGGAAAAGATTCTCCCACTCCGAGCTGCAGCACTGTGGTGGGAATAGAGGTGCACCAGCCAGCTCAATCGTCTCCCAATCACCACTCCTCTCTGGAAGCTAATATGGCCTCCTTAGACCTTGGCAAAGTCACAGAGAGTAACCAAGAGGGAGACATGGATGATAAGGAAGAGGCTAATATAGCGCAGTCAGTGCAGATGCCAGGAGAGGAGGTTAGTGGTGTTGCACAAGAGGAGCCACACCCTTCCATATCAAACTGCTCAGACACTGTGGCTGTAGAGGACAACGCCTGCTCTGCTCAGCACTCCAGGGCTATGAACGGCTCCATAGCAGAGGTGCGCTGCTCAGTGGAGCAGGCAGAGGAGATCATAGGCACAGAGGCCACTGGCCTGGGCTTAGGGCTGGGTGACCAGGCTCAGATGGAGGAGTACCGCTGTATCCCTGTGGACCAAGCTGTGGCTGTGGAGTGTGATGAGCAGGTGCTGGGAGAGCTGGATGTCGCTGGATTTGAGGAGTTCTCGAAGCGCATCTATGCACTCAATGAGAATATGTCCAGCTTCAGAAGACCCCGAAAGAACTCTGATAAGTGAAGCAAGGTTGACAAGTGTCAGACCGAGACCTCTCAATGCAGAGTGTAACAATTGTGCAGAAAACATAGGAGAACTTCTGGAACTATGACCAATTTGCACAATTTTCTTATTCTTTGAATAAATGTAAGTGCAAGTATTGGGACAGCAAGCATATGTTAATAATGAATTATGGAATCAAATCAATCAGGGATTAATTTTAGTTATGATTGTCTAACTTTGCTCTATTCCAATAAAAGCGTAGCACTTTGTCCACAACCCTTTGATGCAGTAGAGAATCATTGAACTCCCTAAATCACTGAAGTCATGTGTTATGAGTTGTTGCCTGCTGTCCCAGTGCTGTACTGAGCTTTCCCTCACGGTGCGCGCAACTGACTGAACTGGACGACTTGGTGGGTGCACAACTTAGTCATCACAGTAAGGTTTAGCAGAATCCCACCAATGACCTTAATGTGGATGCCATAGAGAGAGGTGGGAGATGAAGCCAATAAGAGCCGATCCCCCAAACTGTGACATTATATTTTCCCATTCCCATACTTTTTCTTTTGAAAGCGGTAAGGCGAGGATTATGTGAGCATGTCGCAGGGCTAATGTGCAATTTATGGTTCATCTTCATGTCATTTTATTTCCAACAATGTAAACATCCGCGTTGATTGTCATTCTACTAGACGCAGGGTTTCCAACCTTTTTCCCCCAGAGCTACTTTTAATTTGACAAAAATGGAAGAGCGCTTCCCTTTAAGTGGATGAACAAAATGGAGTCAGTATAATGTTGGCAAGCTTTTAGAATAGGTTCAGTTCTATTCCTCTAAAACCTTATACCTATTTATTAATGCATATGGTTAAAGTATGCCTTATAGTTCTAGGCATGTGAAACCATAACATTAAAAATAGTCTGCATATTAATTAGTATTTTAATTGTAGCTCCCGAGTTATAGGTTGGAAACCCTTGTATTAGACCAGGGGTGTCAAATTGGGTCCAGAAGGGGCCAGTGTGGCAGCCGAGTTTCATTCCAACCAAGTAGGAGCACACCAGACTCCCCCCATTTCCTCGGGTCTTCAGGGTAAAACTGGACTCACTTGAGGAAATGGATAGAGTCTGCTGTGCTCCTGCTTGGTCGGAATGAAAACCTGTGTCCACACCGGCCCTTTGAAGACAGGTGTGAGTCCGCTGTATTAGACCAATTTAAACGTTGTAGTTCGATTTTGTTAAAATGTCACTCAGGCTTGTATGTCGTCTTGAAGCCCATGGCGATAACCTCTGTGATTGAGATGCTTTCTTGCACTGGTTGAATTATGCATTATTTATTTTTCATAGAGGATTTCTATCGCACAATATTTCAGACTGTCTCAAAGATCATCATCTCACATAAGTGCGCTCTTGACGGGAGTTCTGCCACAGATCAGTCCACCGCTCGGATCTATACTGGGGTTGCTGGGAGGAACTTTCTCGCGTCATTTCCATAAATTGATACACAGTTGACCATGTAAATATGCTTTTTTATGGAGTTTTCTTTTCAAATTAAAGATTGTCCAATGGCATGAATGTAACGGCCTGTTTGATATGTCGTCCTCCTGCGAGTCTGTACCAAATATGTACTTGGAATACTAAGGATTTAAAGATGAACTTAGTTATTCTTTCATCATAATTTAGACCACCTTGCCCTGCATTATAATGTTACCTAAATATGTTTGATAATATACGTATTCACCGTAGGCTCGACTCAAGAAGTTTTGCCGCAGAAGATTTATTTTGCCCAATCAGGAAGCGGGTAGGGGGGTTACAGGGGTGGGGTCTAACTCATGTCTCCCTCCACAATTTTAAAAGTAAATGACATTCACTTTAAAGGTCCTACTGGTTAAGAAGTTTCACATTTTTCCAATTTGATTTACCGTAAAATTCTCTCGGAACCGGTTTTAAACATGCCATTTCTTTTTTGTTTATGTTGATTGAATTAAAGTTTTAGTATTTATGACAGGTGAACTGGGAAACTCTGTCAGATATGTTTGTGGTTCATTATATCATACAGTATTTCATATCAGGAGTCATCTGAGGACAGAAGAGAGAAGCCAAATATGTGTCTTTTATGTTTTATCTATCTGGAACATCTTTGAAAATCACATCGGACTCATCAGATAGTATCCAAACACAAGTCTTGACTGAAGAGGCTTGTTACATTTCCCATTTGTGGAAGCGTTTACAAGTGCTAAAGCTCAGGGTACAGTTAGTATTACCAAAAATACTATCAGGAAAAGTTACAGATGAGAGATAATGATAAAAGTACTTGGTTCTTCCATATTGTCTGATATAGATTCAGATTCAGACTAATTTATTCTATTGTCTTCCAGAGGAGAAATGTGTCTTGGAGCAGGGGGGGGGGGGGTCAGTACCACCCACATATATAGACGTAACCTAATACACTGACAACACACACATTAACATCAACACATTTGCACAATCGCCGCTAATGTTATTTAGCAGCTGTATGGACCTAGGTAAAAAAAATAAATAAAAAGAATTCTTAAACCTGTTTTTTCTGCTTTTGCACATCGGGTTCCTGTGCCTCCTCCCAGACTGAAAAACCAAGTATTTTTATCTCTTACTAACAATAAATTATGAATCTTCCTAGAGAGATAATGATGTGGCTGGGTCGACACATGGCACAGGCCAAAGGGACGACATGGCTCCGTCCATGGTTCTGTGAGGGTTGTGTGAAAGACTGCTGCCACCGCGACTCTGTTCTGAATGGAAAAAACAGCATTGTAAAAGCCAGTCATATTTTTTTTTCCCCTGGGGGTTTGCAACGTTTGCAGTATACGCTTATCCATTTTCTACATTTCAATGAAAAATCCGTTTCCATCTTTCCATCTGTTTAACTAATCGGATTCTACTTGTCTGCACGCAATCATCGTATGCAATAAACCAATTTAGTATACTCTATAAAATACTAGAGCAGCTATTAGCCATGGCAAACATCTGTGCACTTGCTTTGTATGACGTTCTCTGACCCCTATAGCTTTTTCTATCACAGACTCCATGTTGTACTGTATCATTATCTGGATAGGGTCTACCTGCTTGTCTCCAAAAATATACATACACTCACTTATCTATTTTTATTAACGTAACAAAACAAATTCAAGTGAAATACATCTGTTGCCAGGTTCAACCCCTAACTCCTTAACCCTCATCAGGAAAGTATACATAGCATTTAAATGAATTCCCTTTTATGTATGTGTTTTGTCCAGGAGCCAACTTACTGCTCCATCTCTCGCTCTCCGTCTCTCTCTCTCTCTCTCTCTCTCTGCAAGACATCTTTATATTCCTGAGTTTAAAGAGTTCACCGGTGCAGACATGTATAGAAGGACTGTTCATCATCACAGACACCTCACATATGTACTCTATACGCACAACACAAGGGCCAAATCTGCAATTCTGGTTACAGAGGCCTTGCCCTTTTGCTTAACCCCACAATGGCCGTGTGTGTATTCGCATATCAATCTTTTCTCTGTCTTAAGCCTCACACTATTGCACTCATTAACTCTGGTTGTTTATTAATAGGCTTCCCGACAAGTGGTCCTGTCCTCCTAATCCCAAATGAATAGATACTTTGGATAATGTAAACCGAGGGGAGCTTCAGTCCATCAACAGTTCGGCTGCGTCTGGACCGCTCGACACCAGGAACAGGTCAAAACCACAAAGCATCCTCCCCACACACACACACACACACACAAAACGATCCAACACTGTCTCTTGTACAAATGTCTAGTCCTGTCACTGCCTCGTCTTCTGCAAATGTGTTTGTAGATTTATTTTTAGAAACGTGTGAACAAATGGAGGACGAAACCCAACGAGTAAGTCATGGTTAGATTACATTGTGTCCGTAATAATGACGATCAGATGTCTTCAAGCACCTCCAGCTTTAGGAAGGCAGCTTTGTTTAATGCCTCAACGCCATAAATCAACAGAAAGAAAGACAAAGACGACCTACATTCACTTTCTAAACTGGGGGTTTGTCTCCAAATCTGTCCAAAATGGTGAATATGACCCAAACACTAATCCTTCAGCGTAATTGTTGAGAGAAAATTTGAGACGACTTCTGCAAGGTGTTGAAAGTTCTGTAATCAAGCCCGACCTGCATGCATCATACGGCACATGTAATCAATCAATCATTTCATTTTTAGAGCCCTCTACAACACTCAAGGCGACCAAAGTGCTTCACAATAGAATTACTGTACATGAAATCCATTAAAACATTTATGCATTAAAACAATAAAACAGTAAAAAAAACATTAAAAACATTGTAAAGCCACAGTGTTATATCTACATTTTCTGTAACTGCAATTTGTGAATACATTATCTATTTTGTAAGGTTCTACTCAGACTAGCTGAGCCAAATATCAAAATCGATTCTCAAATAGAGATTGGTGGGTTATTTCTATTCAATTCAATCCATTTCTTGTGCTTGAACTGTTTGATTTTCTGATCTGTTGTTGGCGAATCGTTTTCTTTGTAAAGTCCTCTGAGACGACTGCTGTTGTGACTTTGGGCAATACAAAAAGTTGAATCGTTTTTCTTATGTATGGATCCATCTCCACCTATACCGATGGAGATAATAATAACAAATGATATTTTAACCTTGACGTTTCAATATTACAAGACTGAAAGACCGTATCACATTCTGTAACATCTTATTCCATTTGGACCACTCCATTTGTGTGCACTTATGCCAGAATCGTCTGAAAGTAACTACGCAGACATTAAGTAATGTGAGGTCAAACACATGTTTCGAACATTACCGATTCGACCATTCAAGTTGCCACATGTTGGTTATCTTCCATCATTTTGATAGAATTTGAAGCGTTCTTTTTGGCATTTTCAGCAAGAATGTAATCTAATATCTATTGGACGAGTAACTGCCTCGGATACATGTGAGACAAAAGGATAAAATTGGTTAGGAACAATTTTAGGAACCAGTCAATGTAATTCATCAAACCGAGTCAGAA